TTCCAAATGATTACCAATGAGCAAACATGGGGCATACAACACACAACACCAATATAACTGCCAAAATGCAAAAAGCAAAAAACAATAAAAAATGCTGCCGCCTTCCATTTCTGAGCTGAACTGCTGCAAAAAATGCTATGATAACTGACGCTGCTCCTGCTCGTTCATATCACCACTGCCGCCAAAAACTAAAGACTAAAATCTGCTGCTGCTGCTAGTGCATCGAAAAATGTCCTTGAAGCGCAGCCATGCCATCCCCTTTTCCTCGTTGTCGCCGTCAATTTAATCGACTTCTTCTTTTCTTCTTCTTCATCTTTTCACTTCATTCTTCACTACACTTATACTCACTCTTTCTCTCTCTCTCAGTAGACACCATCCTGCACTACACCCGGCAACCACTGAACACACTGAAAAAGTAATGTGATACATTAGCCAAAGGAACAGCAGCAGCTGCAGATGAGAAAAAGGGAAAANCTTTTCCCTTAGCAGCAGCAGCAGCATTTCAGACAACAAGTAAACTCTTTCTTCTGCTGCTGCTTCAACTGCCGCTTCAATCAGTCAGCGCCAGCCGCTGAAAGTAGTGAGAAGTGGGCACACGTGCAAGCGTCGGTGCAAGTGTGTACAAGTGTGTGCGTTTATTTGTTTATTTGTGCTTTGGTATTGTGACAGAAAATCAACCTAAAAATCTGCCAAAAATGCCTGCCCAACAAAAACCGGCCAGGTGGACAGTGTACCTGAAGATTGCCGCCGGCGTCATTTTCATTGTCGCACTGCTCGTCCTCCTCTTATGGGGCGTCCACAAGGGAAAACCAACAACAGACAACAATGAAGTTGGTGAACAAGAACGAGAAGTTGAAGAACCGCCGATTATCTGCAACAGCACCGAGTGCCAGGAGGCCAGCGCCTGGGTCATGGAGACGATGAACCCCAAAGCCAACCCTTGCGAAGATTTCTACGAATTCGCTTGCGGAAACTTTCCAAAAGTGCATCCGATTCCGGAGGACAAATCTTTTGTTTCGACGTTGTCGCTTCTTCAGGACAAGGTGACTGACTCACTTTATAAGCTTCTGGTCAAGGAAGGCAAAAGAAGAAAGTCAGGAATTGGAAGTGAAAAGAGGGTGGCAAAATCCATCGACCTGGCCGCCGACCTCTTTGACGTGTGCATGGATGAAGGTAAAAGTTTGAGTGTTAAGATAGTTTAATGAACTCTTTTAAATTATTTATCCCCATTGAACTACTTTAGAAAGTCGAAATCGCCTGGACGTAGAGCCCTTTCGGGCGCAGCTGAAACGAATGCTCGGCACTGAGTGGCCAATAATCGACGTCAAAAAATTCGGCGACAACTTCCAAAAAGGCCGCGACAGTGTGGAGTTGTTTATCGACGCAATGGCCAACTTTCGAGCAGCTGGTTCAGAACCGATCATGAGTTTTGGACCAGACATTGACGCCAATAATACGCTGCACCGGCTGATTACCGTACGACTGAAATGTTTTTAATTTTTATACATTTTCTCATTTTACTTTTTCTTTGTTTGGCAGTTTAAAGTGCCTGAATTTGACCTGAAGGACTACCAATACGGCGACACTAGCAAATACAACGATGAAGTGAGCGCCAACTGGGTTTACATGCACGACATGGCCAAATTCTTTTACAAAGGCAATGCAGAGGTGGCTGGCAAGAGCGAGGAAATTGACTTCCGTTTTGATGAGATTTTCCGCTTTGAACGGTCGCTTGCTAATGTAATTATATATCCGTTTTTACTTTCTTTTTTTAATTCATTCAAAAAACTATTATTGAATTTTTGATTAATCTTCTCTAGCTAGTCAACCTAAAGTCAAACCCGCTCAATCCAAAGGACTGGTACTTTAAAATCAGCCTGCGCAACTTGAATGCCCTCACCAGTCGACAAGGCTCATCGTACTTTAACTGGACGTCGCTGCTTTTTAAGACCACTTTTAACTTTGTCCTTCCCTACAAGATCACCGACGAGGAGCAGGTGATAGTGAAAGACCTAGAGTACTACAAGGGCATGGTCCAACTGGTGTCCACCACACCGTTGCACGTCCTCTTCAATTACATGGGAGTGCGGTTTATTAGCGAACGTGGCGACGACGGCTCACTACAAATGCACAAAGTAGAGCATGAGTTTGCGCAGAAAACCAAAGGTCTAAAGGCCATGCCTCATCACTGGGAGGGCTGCCTGGAGGAGGTGCGCCGCCTTTTTCCGATGCCTCTCAGTCGCCTCTACGTGGATGCGGTCGTTCCACCGGAAACCAAAGTAGCCGCCGAGAGCATTGTCAGCCACGTGGCTGAGTCATTTGCAAAGACGATCAAGAAGCACACGCCCTGGCTTGATAAGGTAACGAGGGATAGGGCGGAAGAAAAGCTGGCCAAGATCAAGTACCTGGTTGCCTATCCAGACTGGATCTCTGATAACAGTCAGCTTGATGCCGACTTTGGTTTGAGACCTGGTTCAACGGATGATGAGCTGTTGAAGATAGTTCCTGGAAAGTACTTTGAGTCACTGAACAATATCCGACGGTTTGTGGTGGCTAGAGAGTTTAGAGAATTGAAAAAGGTTCATGATCCAGATAAAGAGTAAGCTTTAAAAATTCTTTTTGGTTTAAAACTAATTAACTAATTGTTTTTTTAGTTGGATCATGTCGCCCACTACGGCAGACGTCGATTACTCGACAGTGGCCAATACCATTGGTAAATACTATTAAAATAACCTTTTGTTTACTCAAAACATATCAAATTCTCTAAATCTTTGCAGTAATTCCCGTCGGCCTTCTTCAGCCGCCGCTTTTCGATCCTTTCCGTCCCTCGTACATGAACTACGCCACATTGGGCGCCTACGCTGCCCACGCACTGACGCACCACTTTGACGACAAGGGCAGTCGAAGAGACCAGCAAGAACGCCTACTCGACTGGTGGTCACCCACCACCAGGGCTCACTTTGACAGTGAGACGGCTTGTTTTGTACGGCAGTACAGCAAAGCAGTTGACCTGCAAACAGGAAAAACGGTAAAAAGGTTAAGATCGCTTTTCAATTTTAACCATAAAGTCGTTTTTGTTCTAGCTGAACGGAGAAAAATCAGTCAGTGAGAACATTGCCGACAATGGTGGTAAGTTTTTGAAAGAGGAAAAATAGTAAAAGATATAAATATTTTCTTTTTACTTAACAGGTATACGCCAGGCGTTTTACGCTTTTGAGAAGGCTTACAAAATGGCCGTTGGTGATAAGGTCGCCCGACTGACCCGGTTGACCAATCTCGAGCAGTTCACCGTTGAGCAACTCTTTTTTATTGCTCTGGCTAAAGACGCTTGTGCCGAATTTCGACTGGAGCACCTGAAAACAAAGATTGATCACGCTTTTGTCCCGCCTAGAAGCAGGGTCAATCTGGCACTGGGTAATTTGCCGCCCTTTGCGGCCACCTTTCAGTGTTCGCCCGGCTCAAAGTTGAATCCACGAGAGCGCTGTCGAATTTGGTAGTGCTCTTTTTATGCTTTGTACAGTTTACTTCTTTTTTTTGTCTTTTTATCCCTACTTGTACCCTTTTTTTACACTTTTTTCAGTTTTTCTTTCATTGTACATCATCTTTTACTGCCGATTTTATCTTCCTATCCCTAAAAAAATGATTTTTCTCCCTCTCTCTCTCTCTCTCTCTCTCTGCACTGACATTTTTAACTCTACAAATTACACTGTTATAGATATCAAGATGCGGTTTTTACCAGTACAACGAGATAAATGGCATCTTTCAAATGATACCAAACTCGAGTTGATCAGATAACCGGAAGTATTTAAAATGGCGGATTATCTGTTTCCGGTAGTTTTCGAAAATGACTTTTAAATAGAACTACTAGACTTAGAAGAATGGGGTTTTGGATAGAATGATCAGATAAATAGCCGCCACAATGTGGCTATCTCAGAATTTCGATAAAGTACCCGGAAGTACTTTATTGGAGTTTCATCAATTTTTAGATAAGTTTTTTAAAATACGATTTGAGCTTCGATCTTATTTCTGATTACACCATTAGGTTCCTGGCCCTTCAATTAGTCTAATTCTATATTGGTTTGCTCCTAAACCTTATGGTTTACCAGAAAGTCCAAAAAATCTGGATCATTGTACTTTGCATTGGCAGCGGCGCGCGCCAAGCGCAGCCACAGTTTTGCCCTTGACTGTGCGACTGTCACAGCGGCAAAGCAGCTGCCGCTGCTTTTGCTCTTGACTGTGCTTACGTGTGCTGGCTCGATATCACTGATATCATATCAGCAGCCGCTGAGTTCTGCTCTTACGCTCGCATTGTTGTTTTACGCATGCACATAGCATGTGTTTCTGTTTTACCATCTGAAGCTCAGATTCTGAGCTGTGTTTTTTCACAGCAAGACTCCAGTAAATTAATCGCTAGACCCTAGCGNCAACGTCCGTCGACGAGGGTCCTGCGAGCGCAGCGAGCAGGGCCCGAGGAGACGGGCGTTGGCAGTGGCCAAACCACGTTAGAGATTGACGGTTAAGTGTTTACAGGATCTTAGCAGTGCACGGCTAAAGGCGGCGAGGTCTGGCACCACTTGGGCACATTAAACTACCGCTGCCTTGGGTTTTGCGAGCGGAGCGAGCAAGACTCAAGGCGGAGGAAGTTTAATGTTCCCAAGCGATGTCGTGTGAGCCGCCGGTAAAGAGATCGATGTATGCTAGCAGTGCACGGCTAAAACTTGCGAGTTTGGGCCA